AAATAAAGAATTTCTTAATTTATCTAGAACTCTACAAAGACAGGCATTTTTGTAAAGAATTTTTTTTAAATAGACATCCATGTCTCCATTCAATTTCTGCTTTTGTGGATTTTTTTTTTTTCTTCTTTAAAAAAAAATTATTATAAAGACTGATATTCTGATATTATACACTTTAACTCTTTCTTTTTAAATGCAACAAAACTGTCTTTGTTTCTTTAAGGATTGTCCAGCAGTTCTTGGCTGGTCTGTTTTCCAGTTCTGACAGTGCAGGTTCCCAACCCTCCTCATGGTATGTTTATGTGGTTTACTGTGATTCTTTTAAGTGGAATATGTTCCTGAAATAACATTCCTGTAAATCAATCAATTCATCAGATTTCAGGTTTGGCTGGGCTTAAATAATATTCTTATCAACCCATCACCTTTGTTTGTTTGACAGCACTGTTGTTCCAGGACCAACAAAACATATTCATGTTCCCCTTTGACCTACAAATGCATTTATTACTATATGTGAAGACGATATCTACAGATCTATCCAATGTTTTATCAATAACCTGTTTCTCAGGTCTAGCATGCTACACTCTAACCCTGAAGATTATGCTTGGGGACAAGGAGGTTTAGATGTGATCATCACACAGGTTAGTCACACCGTCATGGGTGACATCATCTAATGATATGACTCATCATGTCCTCAACCTTTTTGCACTTAGCCTCATTAGTCTTCGCAGTATTTTGCCTGTTGCCACTTAAATTTGTCCCCAAGCTAGATTTTTTCTTTTATTTTACCAAAATTAAAGAAGCATTAGAAATATTCTGTTTTGTTTTTTTTCTGTTCTCTTCCAGTTGCTTGGTCAGTCTGAAAATACCGGCCCCCCTCCTGCCGAGAAGGAGATGATCTCATCTCTCCCCACTGTTAGCATCTCCTCCGAACAGGCTGGTAAGTTCCCATAATCCTCTGAGTCACCATGCACACTTCATTTTAAGTGCTGTAAAGCAAAACAGGGCTGTTCACACACTTCTGGTCACCTCCAGGAAGTGGTTTTTCTTGCTTTTCCTGGCAGTCTATTGTATTGAGTATGATAAATTTAAGAGGGTGAATTGGAAAGTGTTAAAACAAGAGGAATCTCTATGATTCTGACAGCAGTGCATTGTGCATTTGCCATATTCATGTCAAATGTTTCCAGAGACTCACATGTTCCCCATCAAATAATTGATTGCTGAGCTACAAATCAGTTTGTTTATTCAGTCACACATTTTTAAAACGTCCCAGATGACAGGTAACGTTCTCAGGACTTTGGAACTTTCTTGCTAGGTTCTCTCAAAATTATAAACAAATGCTCTTCCAGTAACATTAATAGAATGTTTGTTCAAAGTCATCCAGTCTTTAATAACGTTCTCAAAATTTTTGCACAAAAACGTTATTTAAACATTTTTCTGAAACGTTTTACTTGGTCTAACTTGTTTTAAATGTTGTTACTTGTTTCAGAATGTTCAGAGAACATTCAGAAATAACATTTTCATAACTTAATGGGAACATAAGTAACGGTTCTCATAATGTTTACATAATTATAAATTTGAATGTTCCCTTTACGTTTGAATAAGCAAGAAAAAACATTTTTAAAACAGAAAAAAACAAACATTTTGAACATTCAGAAAGAACGTTTTCATAACTTAAAGTGTCCCTATTATGCTATTTTAAAGTTTCCTAATTTTGTTTTGGAGGTTTACAATAGAACAAGTACAAATAAACATATCTACAATAGGTTTACTTCTATCCAAGGTCAAAAAACACTTTAATTTTCTCATAATATACATTGCACATCACCTAATTTCTCAAAGGTTCGTGCTGAAAACGGTTCATTTGAAGATTGAGTCTCTCTAAACTAGTGATGGGCGTATCGATACAAAGTATCGATATATCGATACTGATGTCGAGAATGGAAAGTATTGATACTCAAATAAAAATATCGATACTACAGGTTTTTTGTTTTTTTTTACCAGTGATTTTGTTTATTTGACAAGAAATCTAATGCGTACAATATGCATATTGAATGCATATTGGATGAATAACCTATGTTAGTGAATAATTGTGTAGAACCACTTCCCTGCTTATCTGAACTGAACACACACAAATGCTGCAAGTCAGAACCAATCAATCATAGAGAGCGTTCACTCACTGCTAACAATGCATTCAAACCACTAATCTATTGTCATTATATAGATCAGTGATTCAAACAATGCTTAACAGAAGACAGAAAAATATATATTTGAGCTATTTCACAATAAACAAATTGTAGCCTACATAGTTTGTCCAATTAAATTGTTTTAAATTGAAAGTTAAAAGTTCATACTGATGTTCTATTCTGTAACTAATTTTAATATAAATCATACACTGTCAGAATAAAAAGGTTACATTTTATTGGTGCAACTGCCTGTCACTGGCAGTCCCTTATGGAAATGAACATTACAGTGACCATAGTTCAAATAGGCCTATAATATTTTGTAGATTTACATGGTTACCACTACAAGTAAACATTTTAACCATGTGTAAATAAAAATATAATCTAATAAATTCCAATTAAGGCATATTGAATGTTAAAATGCCTTTCAAATATAATGTATAATGGGTATCATTACCCATTTTAATCTTTGTAATTTGATAATTTAAGAAATTTTCAAATTTAAAAGTTCAGTTTAAAGGTATCGTATTGGTATCGGTATCGACGATACTGGCCTTGAAAGTATCGGTATAGTATCGAAAACAAAATAAGTGGTATCGCCCATCACTACTCTAAACCCCTTCTTACCACAAGCCTACTCTGCTCTGATTGGCCCAGTCTCTTGTTATTGGTCTACCGCCTGACGACTCATTTCGGCAGTTTCGAATTTATTCTTTATTTTAGGAGACAATAGCTTTATTTGTCGTGCACTTTGATCTTTGAAACTTTGCAGACATTTTACATTTACAAACAGCTATATTTCACTCTGCATGAAAGGTAATATTCGAAAAATTATAATGGGGCACTTTAATGGGAACGTACTGTACATATTTTGTAAACTGGGATGCAGCACTTCACAATTGCTTTCTCCGTTTTTCTTGTGTGTTCATCCATGCATATTTTCCCCCGTCTCTCTCACAGCATGCCGGCTGGAATGCCCTGTGTGTAGAGAGGAATACTCTGTAGGGGAATCTGTCCGACAGCTGCCCTGTCTGCACTACTTTCACAGCAACTGTATTGTGCCCTGGCTTCAACTGGTATGAGTCTCATAAAACGACCTTAGCGCTGGATCTTCTGTCATCAGACTCATGTTTATGAAACCGAAACATAATCTTAATTTAGTGCTGCCTGCTTCTTGTCGTAAATAGTGGTGGCCATGTGTAATCGTTGGTTATATTTGACTAACAAGCAAAAATGTTTGGAAGGACCTCTAGTGGTGGACATAGGAAAAACAACCTTACTCTAATTGACTAATAATCAAAGCCTGTAGAGGCGGTCAGTCATGACGTCAATTTGTAGACCAACCCGAAGTCTAATTCACCCTCGGGAATTTCCACTGGGTTTTTTAAAATGTCAGTTTTCGAATTTATGAGCGCAATAAACATTGTGGTTAACATTACTTGAAGAGACTCTCTACAACATTACATCCAGTCATCCCACAAACATGACTTTTTGAGGTGACAGGTTTGAAATGTGCTCAGACGTTAATGATATTTGAAAACTGTAGGTCATGGATTACTAAATTATGTGCTAAAATAACCTATGCTACCGTTTAAAAGTTTGGGGTTGATTTTGAAAGAAGTCTCTAATGCTCATCAAGGCTACTTTTATTTGATCAAGAATTCAGTAAAACAGTACTATTGTGAAATATTATTAAAATTTAAAATAAATGTTTTCTATTTTAATGTATTTTTAAAATGCAGTTTATTTCTGTGATGGCAAATCTGAATTTTCAGCATAATTTCTCCAGTCTTCAGTGTCACATGATCCTTCAGAAATCATTCTAATATGCCGATTTGTTGCCCAAGAAACATTCCTCAATATTATGTTAAAAACAGGATTCATTGAAATACAAGAAATACATAGTTCAGTCAGGAAACTTCAGAGCAGCTGATTTGTTCTCATAAAGAGTCATAAAACCCTAAACCGAATTTTATGAGAGTTATGTGTGTTGAACATCATAGAAGTCAATGTTACCATCCATTAGTTTTGATTGTAGGAGAAAACGGGATAATTTGAAACTTTTTTGAGAGCGTTGCTGTGTTGTCAGTCTCCCCCTCCACTCAGCACTCAACCTTTTGTAGCATTTTTCAAAACAGTAGTGAGAACTGACTGCTTCTGAAACAGGGGGTTTCAGGACTCTTTAAAGCTGACCAAGTCAGTGCACCGTCCACCATGGGATTTTTTTCTAGCCCTCCAGGGCCTCCACCTTCCCCAGCACCACCTGCCTAGATCTGTCAGGGCTTCTCCCTACTAGGGCTGTCACTTTACGTTCGAAAATCGATTGCAAAATCGATCGGACCAACCAACACTCGATTTTAATCGATTTTAACAGCTTTTTTTTTTTTTTTTAACCAAAAATGTGTTTTAGATGGACAGATCAATACAGTATCAGAACATGTAGGATGCTGTAAAATAACAATGTCTTTTCTGTTAACCAAATTCGCTATTACTTCAATGCAAGTGAACAAGCGAGCCGTTATTTGTTGCTTAGTGACGTGTGTGTGTGTGTGTTCAAGTAAGCCAGAAATGCGCAGATTCTGTGCAATACGCTGTATTTAATATATCATGAGGACATTTTTACAGTCTATGATGAGGACTCACGAGTTGCGTATTTGCGCTAAATCCGCGCAGATTTGTCGTACACGAACTTCCCCAGCAAAGTGAGTAAACAGAAACACACGCCAGATTGGCTCGTGATTTGACAGCGTTTCCCGCCAAAGTTCATTTTTACCCGCGTTTGGCGGGTCGTAGGGTGTTAATTTCAATCCCTGAATGTTGCGCTCCTGTTTATCATTGTTCACGAAACTTCACGCCAATAAATCATCAGAAATATTGCGACTTGTGCGCGTCTCAAGCGCCTCTTTACGCTCGTCCTAATGCCTGTTAGGTGTCCGTGGATTTGCCTGTATTTGGTGTTGAAAATGGAAGCGTCTTTAGACATGGAAAATCGATTTTACAATCGATTCAATGAACACTTATGTCTCAAAAACCGATCAGGATTTTTCCACAAAAGTGACAGCCCTACTCCCTACTTCCCTTTATAGCAGCTTGCATTCTATTCACTGTATTTATGTGCATGTTTCAGGAGTAGCCTTTACTCACGCAACAGCAGCAGCGTAGCAGTTCTAGCCCTCCAAGACTAAACCTATTTACATTCCATTCTAATCAATAAATGCTGTTTAACTATATTCCGAGAGTTGTCATGATTGAACTGCATTTAATTTTTGAGATGTTTTAGTAACATTGTCTTTAGAGTCATTTTTGATCAATTTAATGTGTCCTCGCTGAATAAAAGTACAATTTTCTCACAAAAAAAATCATAGCGACCCCAATCTTTTGACCGGTAGCGTATGAAAAAAATTTAACGAAAAAGAAATTACTCTTCTGTCCTCATTTTGTGCTGTTTTGTGTTAATAGCACGACACCTGCCCTGTCTGCCGGAAAAGTCTGGATGGTGAAGACTGGGGTTTCCAGCCACAGACAGGACCTCCTGAGGCAATCCCCTCACCGACGAATGTAGAGGAACGTAGCACCTTTGAGACTATTTAACCTCCTTTTCCTTCCTTGATTAGTTTGATCAATCCAGGACAAGGAGAAGCACCATAGCCATGTGCATCAGTGCTTCTTGGAGCCCCTAAAAAGACCTTCCAGTCAAGTGCCTTCTATTTCGAGAGACATTTTAATTCAGACAACCCTGTTTGAAACAATATCTGTTTGATAAGCATCTATATCTGTTCATTTTGTTTGTATAATGTTTGTGAACTAAAATCCCATCGAGGATGTTTACAGTCCAACCTGAGCAAACACATTTCAACTTTGACTTCAGTTTTGATAATCCCAGGTTTGGAATAAACACAGTCTCTTCGGTGGGCCCGCAGGACTGGAGCTCACAACCGCTGAGATAGATGATACAGATGCCTCAGGGGATACGGTTCAAGTTGCACATGCATATTTAATGGCATGGCACACGTTTACCCTATAGCTTCTTCAGAGCTCTCGTTTCAATAACTCACAAAGAAGTCAGCGCACAGTTCACTTTCCCTTACCTGTCAATGGATGACATCTGCTTCACACATGCCTTCGCTCTCATAGAGGTATCATAGAGGTATCATAGAAACAGGAAGATTTAGAGTTCTGTTTTGTGGTTGTTGTTGATTTACATTGCTACATATAGTTTTTTTTGTGAAGGTTTTGGGGTTTTTGTAGATAGATTTGAAAAAAAAAAAAGTACTTAGTGTATGATATCTTGAAGCTGTATGATGTTCCTTTGGGTGCTTTTGTCCTCATTCTCAGGGTTCCTTGACTTTCTGCTCCATATTTTGATATTGAGATATCCCATTTATAAGAATGTTCACTTCACAATATGGCCTTTGAGCATTTTGAATGTCATTCAATCTCAAATGTGAACGTAAAATGTTTACAAGAAAAATAATGCAATAAATAACTAGAAAAAAGGCACATCACTTTTATAAGCCAACCTATTACATATTGCACTCTCAAAGCAAATAAATAAAATAATTTATTACGAGTTTTGTGTGTTTTAGACTGAACTATATGGGGTTTTCAACTGTTAATAGCTTGAGTTCAGGGTGCTTGATGGCTGATATATTATAAATAATTCAACCTAATGGCGGAAAAACAATGTGTTTACATTTATTTTACATAATATTTAATAATCTCAAATATTTAAGCCTAGTATTGGATTGAAGACTCATGATAGAATTGTGATTAATAATCATATTATATACCATAATTGGTATATAATATGGTATTGGTATACCATACATAATTCCATAAATTAATCATGATTGAGAGTTTTGTATAGTGTTTAGTTTTACATACACCTTTCTAAGGTTTGGGGTCAGTACGATTTTTTTAATGACTTTTTTCCAGCAAGGATGCATTAAATTGATTGAAAGTGACAGTAAAGACATTTATAATGTTATAAAAGATTTATATTTCAAATAAATGCTGTTCTTTTGATCATTCTATGAATCAATACTGGGAAAAAAAAGCAATCACGGTTTCCACATAATGTAAAATAAAGAGTTTCAACATTGATAATAATAAGCAGCAAATCAGCATATTAGAATGATTTCTGAAGGATCATGTGACACTGAAGACTGGAGTAATGATGCTGAAAATTCAGTTTTGCCAACACAGGAAATAAATGACAATTTAGAAATAGAAAACATTTTAAATTGTAATAGTATTTCACAACATTACTGTTTTTACTGTATTTTTTTATCAAATAAAAGCAGGTGAGCATAAGAGACTTCTTTCAAAAACACAAAAAATCCTACCGACCTGTGTTTGCATCCTTTGGGAGGCAGATATGCTTTTCAAAATTGATCTGTCATTTAGATTTTGTATGAAGAGAAAGCTTCTGAACGTGGCTTCCTAATTAATTTATGTTATTAATATTTGACACGTCCTCATGCCATGCAGTCAGTCAGATTAATTATCTCATTTGCATCCCACGTCAAATTAGTTACAAAACAGGAATTTTGATTTTCATTTGTTTTACCAAGGCCATTTCTGCATGATTGGTAGAGGTAAATGAGACACGTGACAATTCATATTTCTTCATGGACCAGTCCCCATGATAATCCTTTGACATTATAAGACACTCGGCACTTGTGTAAATGCAGAATTGACCAGTCACTTAGATCAATGTAAAAAAAAAAAAAACATATGTTTTGCACAACTGAATATTTCACCATCCCACTTCCTCCAAACTTGATTCAAAAGTTCAAAGGGAGTTTGTGTGGATGGAGTAAAAGGTCAAATAAAAAAAGCAGGTTTCAGTGGTCATTGTTGCTCTAATTATTGCGAATTATGCCCACTTATGCTGTTACACAACACTCCACAGCTAATATCCACGGAAGTCTCAATATTTTTAAACACTGACATGACATGACACAACAGGATCCAGAAATGGCTATAATTGATGCCCTTTTCGCAATAGTTGTTGGGATTTTGATTAATAGTATAAAAGAGTAGGCAAAAAGCACCCGGATGACCTACTACTTCCGGCTAGATTCTGAAGTGTGCATACAATGGACACTTTTCTATCCCACGAGGCCACGGGAGAGGATTTATGAATGGCAGTGAAGCAACATAGGTCACAATGACAACATGGTGTAGTACATCCAGATTACACTCATACTACAAATATTCATACTATATAGAACATACTTTTTTAGAGGTTGTAAAGTTATTACTTATTCAAAATATGTACCTACTCAAGAAAGACAAAGTATGCGATTTTGGACGCACGCCAAGACTTGAATTTGTCAACTAAAAAGATTTCAGTAGCCCTTTCTAGAGTACCTCCTTAGGCCAGTAGGTGGCGTCAAGTCAGTGAGTGTGTTTTGTGAGTCATTGAATAATTTACTGAACTGACTTGTTAAAAAAAGTCGTTTAACTGAAAGTCTTATTATTAATTAATTTGTCTTTAAATATCACTTGAATCACTTTCAGGTGATAAACAATCTAACAATGACAGCCAATCAAAACCCCCCTTAAAACTTTGTTATGTTCTTAATGTGAACTAGAACAATTCGTTTCACTTAAAAGATTCCTTCAAAACAAACAACTATTAGTTGCTGGTCTCCTAATGACGGATTCTGCTCACTTATACTATTACACAACCCGCCTCACGGCTACGATTCCCACGGGAATCTCGATATTTCACTGTGGGTAAACACTGCCACGAGCGTACGACAACACACACGACCCTCTTGTTCAGGAGTCAATCTTTTTGTGATTCAACGTTACTGCTCTACATTTTCATCTGAGGAAAACAATTATAGCCCGTATGTTGTTCAAATGTCTGTAATTGAATATGCCCCGTACAATTTAGCAGAGAGAAAGTGTCGAACAGCCTAGTTCTTCGACAACTGCCCTCGACTCCCCTCCCTTCTACCCGTCCCCCTCCTTTCCTCACCTCCCCTCCCGCCCCGCTCTGACTGTGAGAATGCCCGTGGTGTACTGACAGAAACGATACGGGCTTAGCAGACATGGAGGCCCGATTAACGAGAGAGGCCCATTCCGACGCGTCTGAGCTCGACTAACGCTGACCCGGAGAGGGATTCGGGCGACACATCAGATTATCACGGGTAACAAGCGCCGCACACAAGACGGGGGAGAGGGTGAAGAATTTGAGGGAGAGATCCATTTCGGGTCCTCTGTTGATTCAACGCAGCAGCCGCCATTTTGTTGACAGTTCGTGTTTTTAATAGCCCGTGCAAGGCTCATCCTGAAGAGGGTTAGATTTTTGTATTCTGCTTCTTTTGGTCCTCCAGAGGATGTTTGTACGCTATTGTTGGATTTTTATTGACGACCGGGGCGATAAGGGAACACTTTACTAATCTGAAACACACCAACAGCGGCTGCTTCGTTACATTACTAGTCGTGTGGACGGATCGCGGGGGTTTAGCTAGCCATACCAGTAAATGTGCCTGACAGGACAGATCAGCCGTTTCATTAGAGTGCGGGTTTAGTGGTACCAATTACCTGGTGTGAATTCACTCATTTGAGAGGTAGTAAACAACACAGAGACGTGAATTGGATGACCGTTGACGTTGTATACGTGGGGTTATAGCCGCGATGAACTTACATTGCTCTGACATGTGTCTTAAAAAAATGCAATGGCAGCAAGGTATTTTGACATCCCGTTGTAGTAAGAGTCGCAGTCTAATAACTTGCTAATATTGTTTCATACACTCTAGTTTTTGACATATACAGTAATGTAAGGTTAAGCTCAAGATATGCTCTTTGCTAACTGGCTATGCTAGCTATATTAGGATCATAAACCGTGACCAGTGCGCCTCACGTATATAAATATCGTAATTTTTGCGGGGTGACTAGATCTGCAGACTTGACGAATATTTCGTTATGCCATGCATTGGTTAGAATGTTCTCTCGAGAAATGTGACCGTTTTCCCTTTTGCTTTTTTTTGGCCATATCAGCAATTTCAAGATAAATATCCAAGCGACCATGCTGTTGCGCACGAAGGGAGGATTTTGATCGCAAATTATGTGAACGCCGTTCTGGACCGCTATCAAGGTGAGTAGCTTGTTAATTCTTTCTGTATTTAAACTGCAAATATTTAATAAATTGTTTAATCCAGGTGGTTTGTTTATTAGGGCATCAGCTGTCAAAACAAGTGAGGAAAATGCAGTATTTTGATGCGTAACTCGCGAGCTTTGTTTGTTGTTGCCTGAACGTATGGTGTTTAGTAAGTGTTGCGGTATTCATGAAAGAGTTCTGGTTTTACGTGTTCATAATAAAAGACCAGTGTCATAGAAATGAACCTCCAGTAGCACCTGCGAGTAGATCATCCTCAGTTAACCTCACTCACAATAGGGTTCAGTGCACATGCAAATTGCGCGCGCCTTTGCTTGGTTATATTTTTCCCATTGGAGCAGATGTCTTGAGTAGCGTAGGAAAGTGTAGAAAGTGGTGTGTCTGGAGCCTCTGAATCACCTTTGACCTCTGACTCCGCTGTCAAGGAAACCAGAACTAAGCTTCCCGCTGACTGAGTGCTGTTTGAGTGGATAGCCGTGATTTCAGGCATTTAGTTTGTGATCGAAAAGATTGCGCTAAGACGCATTCTGTTTGAAATATGAGTGCAGATTAATAGCAGATCCCAATGCTTAGCCTGTGTTAGAGAAGTTTCGTTTTGTGGTGCTTTCCTATTGCATCTGATGCTAAGTGGCGAGTTAGTAGATAAATAAATCTAACAGTTGCTCCAAAATAATCGACACTTAAAATTGAATGAATATCATTTTATTAGATAAGAAGTAAAAAAAAAAGTTGCATTAAAAAAAACAGATAGCACATGCACAAGTCTACTTTTAATATACCGTTCAAAATGAAGATTAAAATTATGTAGGCACTTACTTGTTAAACGTTAACATTCATAGTTGATGTGCTGAACTACACTAAACTACATTTAAAAAATCACTTTTGAGACCTGTTGGTTAAAAATAAGCGCAACGATGTCTAAATAAGTAAAATTAACTTAGTGCTAAGAAAAAGCCTAGACATAATTTCTTTGCAGATGCCACTTGGCTGGATATTGTTTTCGAAT